AAATAATAAAATATTGGAAAATACAAAATATTAAGTGCGAATAATAAAATATTGGAAAATACAAAATATTAAGTGCGAATAATATAATACGGTTAAAAAAATTATATAAACCGGTATGTAAATCACAATTAAATATAACATTAAACATTTTATAATGATATAGAAAGTGATTCAAAATATCATTCGTAAATGAAAATTTAATCTTCTTTGCTATTACAGCATTTTATTTTTATAGTTTGCTTTGTGTTGGGGATTAAATCTCAATGAGAAAAATTAATCTATTAAATCATTTTTAAGATATCGTACTTTTGATGATATATAGTAGACAAAAAATTAAATATTTAGTAAGTGGTCGGTTTTAAGTTCGGCAATCGGTCACGATATTTTTTTAATATTTTTTGGGATAATGTTTTCCATGTATTTATAGAGATATAAAACAAAAATGAACATTTTTCAATTGATATTACCACCAGCAAATTTGGTCAATCGAATATTTAATAGGTGGTCGGTTTTGAGCTCGGCAATTGGTCAAATCAAAATATTTTTTTAGAATAATACTTAACACGTAAATATACGTTTATAAAACAAAAATGAAGATTTTTCCACAGATAACGCAAGCAATGCAGTATTTAGTCATTGGGTCGGTTATCGGTCAAATCACGATATTTCTAAAATATTTTTTAGGATAATGTTAGGATTATGTTTTGCATGTGTTTATAGAGGTATAAAACAAAAATGAATATTTTCAGTTGATATCACTAGCAAATTTGGTCAATCGAATATTTAGTAAGTGGTCGGTTTTGAGCATCGGTCAAATCACAATATTTTTAAAATAATTTTTGGAATAATGTTTAACACGTAAATGTACGCGTATAAAACAAAAATAAAAATTTTTTCAGGGAACGCCAGCCAGGTTTTCGAACCAAACCCGAACCCGGAGAAGAAAGCCCAGGTTTTTGGGGAAAAATATGAACCTAAACCGAACCTGAACACCGTTTATGAAATTTTCAAAACCACGAACCGAACCCGGGAATTTTTGAACCCGGGTTCAACCAGGTTCAGTGTATTGTTTAAATACTAATAATTTATTTGACATTTTATAATATTTTCAAATTTCTAATAAGTGAAGTGTTAATAAATTTTAAACAACTTAATTCATTTACTCCATTTTTAAATTTTATATATTTATTCTCAAAGATTCCTATTGGATTATTAATAAATTTTAAACAATTAAATTCATTTACGCCATTTTAATTTTTAACTTATTCTCAAAGAATATTAATTAGAGGAAAATGAAAGTGAACAAGTTAAAGTAAAAATTATTATATTGGATATTGTTAATTTAAAGAAATACGTCTAAATAAAAATTTTTAAATCTATACATGACTATGCTTTGTATTTTTAACTAATTTTGCCTATTAATAAAATAAAAGATTTATATTTTATACCAAATTTATGTCTAGTTTTATAATTATGATTTACATATAGAATATGTTTTTTTTTCAATTCAAAAATTCTTAAACCTGAGCTGAACCTGAAGCCAAACCCGGGTTCAAAAATATTTCCCTGAACTTAACCCGAACCGAACCCACCTATTTTTTTTAACCTTAAACCGAACCCGAACCGAATCCGGGCAAATATTTTGCCCGGCTTGCATCCCTGACGCCAGCAAAGCAACATTTAGTCATTGGGTCGGTTTCAAATCAGTTATCGGTCAATTTACGATATTTTTAAAATATTTTTTGGGATAAAGTTTTGCATGTGTTTATTTTATAGAGATATAAAACAAAATTGTTAATTTTTTAATTCATACTACTCAGAGACCTGCAGAGGTACCATTTGCACGGCCCGGCCCGGTTTTAAATTTTTACGGCCCGGCCCGGCCCGGTTATTTTTAAAAAAAAATTTCAGGCCCGGCTCGGAATTTTTTAAAATTATATTCGACCTGGTATATACAAAAATTGACCTATGAGGTATTTAACATATTTTTCAGCGAGTATTATCGCTTATTATTTAAAAAATACATGTAAAAAGCTAATATTTTGAGAATATTATATTGAATTTATAAAAATTATAAAACTGTTATTTATAAAAATGGATATTTTGAGCATATACTATATTTTATATTGCATTTATAAAAATAAAACTAATATTCATAAAAATGGTAATAATATTTTGAGCATATACTATATTTTATATTGCATTTAAAAATAATAAAACTAATATTTAATTTATAAAAATGGAAAATATTTTGAGAATATAATATATTGTATTTAATTTACTATTTAATTTATAAAATAAAAATAAATCGCTATTTAAAAAAATGCATGTATAATAAATAGTATTTTGAAAATATAATCTAATTGCACAATATTAATATAATTTATTTTATAATATAAATTTTTAACAAAAGAAGATAATTGTATTATATAATATTGTAAAAAAATAATGAAAAATGTTGGATTAAAAACTTTCATGACTTAAGTTAAATATAATAAATGCAATAAATATTTGACAGTTTGCAAAGTAAAAAACCAGCATGATTGACGAAACCCTATACTCAAGAAAGATATTAAAAATTCACAAAATATCATGAAGAAAGAGAAGCATATCTACCTTTTCAGGTTGAAGATTACTTCTTCTTTCTTCAAGAATTCTCGTAGTGGAAAAATTCCGCTCACAGCTTGCACTTGAAGCAGGAATTGCCAATTTTGCTAAAATTGGAAATTCGCTTTGTTGAGCCGCCCACCACCCTAACAAATTATCCACCTTAAATGTTTCATCTATTTTTTTATTTATGTAATTATAATATTCATCATCGGGTATTGACATATTACCAGAATTACCATCGCCCCATTTGTCATAAAACGATTGAGTTTGTTTAACAACAGTCGTAATTTGACTGGTCGATGGTATTTCATTTACTTCCTGAGCCTCTTGTAATTTAATATAATCTTTTATATAGTTTTCCGTCATCTTGCGATCTGTCCCTGACTATATACGTAATTGCTTGAATTTGGGACAGAGAAAAAGAGAAATAAAACTTGTGTAAAACAAATTTTTCAATTAAAAAATGCTTTATATTAAGTAAAATCAATTTTATTTCTCCTTTTTCGCTTTGAAAGGTATTACAAACTTCAAGAAGTGATATTCCTTTATTTGATTGTTTTGGTAAAATATATTCTAAAAATTTAGGTAAGAATTATAAAAAAATATATTAATACTTTGAATAAATTTGCAGGAAATTAATAATTAGATCGATCTGTGGGTGTTAGGTAGTGTTAACCATCACCTAATATTATATTAATCATAACTATAATATAATATAATCTTATAACTATTAACTCATAATGTAAAAATTTTTATAAAAAATATTAAGGGGCCCGGCCCGGGTTTAACAATCTTATCTGATACTACTAGCAAATTTGATCAATCGATATTTAGTAAGTTAACTGTTTTGAGTTCGGCAATCGGTCAAATCATATTTTTTTAGGATAATGTTATACACGTAAATATAAGCAATGGAAACAAAAATGAAGAGATTTTGATCAAACCCACAATATATGCCTTTTTCTATTATTTTTCGATTTTAAACTTACTCATAATTTAAATTTCAAAGAAACCTGCCATTTTTTTTTAATTTTTAGGTTTTCCACATATATTTACACCAAAATATAAAATAAGTACTAAACAATAATCATTCGGTTTCCTAAAATGATATTTTTATATTTATGCATTTAACGCCCTCTTATGGATATGTTTGTTTGTTATAATAAGTTAATAAATATATTTTTTTCGCCATTAATATAATAAAAATAGAATTATATATTATTTGATATTAATTAAATTATGAATAATTGCTTTTTAGCAATGCAGTAATTAGTCGTGCCAGTCAGCAGGGTGATATTATTTCGGCAATGTACTATTTTACAAATTATTTTTTAAGACGAATTTTTTATTTATAAATTTATTTTATAGATAAATTTTTTAAATATATTTTTAGAAGATGATTTATTTTGATATTATATTATTTTAAATATTTATTTTAGATGGTTTTTTACCTTTTCTAATTTATCTTACATTATTTATTGAATATATTAATATATTTTTTAGAGTTAATTTTTTATATAGTGAATTCAATGATAAATCAACATGAGTTTCAACCCCACCCCCTCAGATATTTCTAAAATTTTTAAAATGGGGCATTTTGAGCAAAATGCTTTCCCATTAATTTTAAATATTTTTGGATCAAATTTAGCTAGAAGTGTTATTTGAAGATTTTTATATAGCCTCATTTTATGGTAGGCCCTTTAAAGTCATATAATGTTAAATATTATTTAAAAAATTTAAGTATCAAAAATCGGAAATGGTCGTAAAATCAAATCGGCATTTGTTTTCTCTCAAATTTTTTACGGGGTTTCTTTTCCGAAAGTCCTATTACCGTTTAAAATTTTTTTAATGAAAAAAATTTTAAATGTCTTAAAAATAAAAATTATGACCATTCACCTAACTATGATGCATTGTCACAGAAATTACATTGCAACATGTTGAATTATTTATTTTTACCAATTTTCGTTAAATAATTTGAAAGAGAATTCGAATAAAATTATGACTATTGCTATCTTCATAGAAAAACCAAAAAAGCTAAAAACTCTAATTAAATTTATTATATATTTGTTACATCAAATTTTTTTAAGATATATTTTGAAAATAATTCTCAAAAAAAACGATCAGTATATCTCATGGGATTTAACCCACAGGATTTTTTACAAACGAAATCCTCAAAATATAAAATTTTAATGAAAAAATTACAATGGATTTTTTACAAAAAAAATCTTCAGAATATTATAAAATTTTGGTGATCAAAAAATTAAATTGGATCCCACGAGTTTTTTTACAAAAAAACTTGAAAAGCAAAAATCTTTGCATTTCAAACTATCTCAAATAATTTAGAATATATTTAACAATGGCATAACATACTGTTTTCACACTAAAATAAGGTTTGTTTTTGACGGTATTCATAATCGAAAGTTTAGGAAGGAAAATTACGATAGCCATAGAGTTTTTCGCCTTTTCAATTTTCGTTTTCCTGCTTAACATTTGCAGCAATAGGTTACCGAGTTTTAATTTAATATACATATTATTCTATAATAATTAAATTAAACATAAGATGTCGGATAGTTTATTTTGGAGCTTATATTGTAAGCAATAAATGCTTTATAATAGGTAATATATCTGCTTCCATATCAGTTCAGTGAAATTTTTATCGCGAATGTTTATTATAGCGAATAGAATTTATAGCTAAAATTATATAGCAAAGTCATTATCGCGAAATCAAAATCGCGCAGACAATATAGCGAAATATTTCATGAAATAGATATCATGAAGTCAGTATCACAAATCAACTAATATAAAATATTAAAATTGTCGAAGCAAATGGATATCGAGTTAATAAGTCCGTGTGGGATAGATTCAGATAAGAATATACAGGGTTTCCCATTCAAAAGAGGAAAAGGGTCAATCAAAAAAAGAAAAGTTTCAATCAAAAAATTAAAGTCCCAAAGGCTTAAGAAATAGTGTTGTTAAACGGCTCGTTTTGAGCCGATTTTTAAAAAAGACTAACTCAATATTTTAGCTAGAAAAATATTGCCTAAGCCTCGAGATTTCGATAATATATGTTTTGACATTTGTTCCTTCTATGACAAAATCTTCAGGCTTGCGTAATATTTTTTTGGATGAAATACTGAGTGTTTTTAAAAATCGGCTCAAAACAAGTCGTTTATTACAGTAGGAAAAGTTCTATCAAAAAAGTAAAAGTGTCAAACAAAAAAGAAAATTCAATCAAAAAGTAAAACTCACAATCAAAAAAGGAATATTGTTATTTTTTTAAATTTTTTTTCTTAATTAAATTTTTACTTTTTTTTATTATTCCATCTTGTTTTGTTACTAACTTTTTGCGATCTTTTTCTTAATCTTTTGTCAATTTTATTTCTTCTCATTTTTTATCATTCATGTATTTTTAAAAATAAGTCATTTATTTTCCCTGTCATTTTTCTTCATTTTTCTATTTTTATGTCTAATAATTCATTTACATTTATTTTTTATTCTACATATAACAATTTTTGACTTTTTGTGATTTTTTTTCTCCTTATATTTTTTTTTATATTAGAGTTAATTTTTGTTTTTCTTTGGCAATCAAATTTTTTTTATTAATATTTTTTGCATTTCAAATTATTTCACTATAATTAATGAATTAAATTAATCATTTGGTTATAATGTACCTTTGTAATATTTAAATAAGTTTGAACTATAATACCAAACGATAAAATTAATAAAATATAATCATATATTAATTCTTATTTTTGAAATTTTAATATTTATACTAGAAGTATTCAATACTTTTGTGCAAGTAAATAATTTTTTTAAAGTATTATTAATACTATATTCTTTAATTTATGAATAATTAAATGTAAAAATGAGGTAAATTTAATAATCTCAAATTTTTTTGTTTTTAAAAATAAAATCACGAAGATCAATAAAAAATTAATAGTGCAACAAAAACTCCAATAATTGACTCGTTAAAAAATGAATAATATCATAAAATAGCATCATGTTTTAAAGTAAGCTATAAAACAATTACAAATATAAAATACTCATATCTCAAAAAGGAATAAAATATAGTTTGCCCAAAGGCGGTTCAAGTGCACGCAAGAAATTACATCAAGAACAGAAAGAATATTTAAATTGTATATTGATTGCACATTACCTTAAAAAAGTTATGTGGAATGATTAAATAAAGATATATATATCAAAAATACGTATCAACTATCAAGGTTACTTTAATGATTTGGGTATACTTTTAAAAGGGTATCACTACGTTCAGTTAGAGAAAATGCATAATCAAATATCGGGATTCGCATAGAATTCGCGAATTGGTTTGCGAATAAGTGAAATTTATCTTTATCGATGAGAACGGATTTTCAATATCAATGATGCGGTTATATGAATTATTAATAATGTCCTAGGGATAAAAATAATTAATTATACCATCATTTCTGCTCTCACGATTGCGGGAATATTCAGATTCTAAGATCATGATGGCCCCTGCGCTCTATACTTTTGCAATTTTCTAAATGAAATACTAAATCATTTTGAAGAAGGTCATATGATGAATATGATCTTTGTGATGAATAATGTTCCATTTCATCATAACCATACAATTAGAATATCGATAGAAAGATGAGGGCATACAATAAATTTACCACCATACAGTTCTTATCTTAGTCCCATTGAAAATGTATGGAAGTATTTTTTCAGAGATCAAAATCTGAGATCTGAAGAAAATGCAAGGAAATTATTAATGATTAATATAAATTTTTGTTTCACTATATATATATATCAGAGACCTGCAGAGGGACCATTTGCACGGCCCGGCCCGGTTTTAAATTTTTTAGGCCCGGCCCGGATATTAAAAAAAAATTTTTACGGCCCGGCCCGGATTTAAAAATTTAAGGCCCGGCCCGGATATTTTTTAAAATTATATTCGACCTGGTATATACAAAAATTCACCTATGAGGTATTTTACCATATTTTTCAGCGAGTATTATCGCTTATTATTTAAAAAATACATGTAAAAAGCTAATATTTTGAGAATATTATATTGAATTTATAAAAATTATAAAACTGTTATTTATAAAAATGGATATTTTGAGCATATACTATATTTTATATTGCATCTATAAATAACTAATATTCATAAAAATGGTAATAATATTTTAAGCATATACTATATTTTATATTGCATTTAAAAATAATAAAACTAATATTTAATTTATAAAAATGGAAAATATTTTGAGAATATAATATATTGTATTTAATTTATAAAATAAAAATAAATCGCTATTTAAAAAAATGCATGTATAATAAATAGTATTTTGAAATATAATATAATTGCACAATATTAATATAATTTTTTTTTTTTTTTAATTAAAATAATTTTTATTTATCAACAAATAAACATATTATATGATATAAACCAATTCTAGAAATTTTAAGAAATTTAACAACCAACAACCAACGACTTCATAATACAAGGTATAATAATGGGAATATAATTAGTGCAAATGATAATACGGGGAGGAAGGGGGGGGGGTAATTTTAAAAAAAAAAGGGAAGAAGAAGAAAATCTAGATTCATCGGGCTCCTCGGGGAATGAACCTATGAAGCATGTGAAATTAGATTTTATAATCTGAATTCCTATGCGTTGACGTAAGTAGACGCCTTCTTTTGGGTCTCCTGATTTTGTTCTTAAGGTTCTGCCAATCTTTTTAATCAGGCTAAGAGCCTGACTTCCAAGAGATGTTAAGGTCGTCGTGACAACTGGTACGAATTTATACTCATCTGGAATATCCACATATTTATTTGTTTTAAAATCTTCGTGTATTTTAAAATGTCTTTATTGATGTTGGAGGGTGAGAGGGGGTCAACGCAGGAGAAATCCCAGGCTAGAAATCGGCCATTCTCCCAGGGAATTTGTGTAATTCCATCGGGTCGTCTCCCATCCGTAAAGAGACCTGAGGGTTCTAAAGTGGCAGGAAAGCCTGCTGACTGTAAAGCTCGTTTTATGAGAGCATTACATCTGTTATGCCGGATCGAACGTCCACTGCTAAAAATGCATTGGAGGCAATGACGACCAGTTTGACTAACTGGCCTTTTGCACTTGGCGCACTTATATGAAACTGAGGTTGTTGCATTTAATCGAATGGCTACAGCAAAACTGAATTCTTGATTTGAAAGTTCGAGATCAAGATTTTTAGAGGGGATGGCATCCAAGTATTCATGTCCTGAACCTTGGTTGAGGGAAGCTAATAGGGCATGATCTTCAGATTGCAGTGTCGAAAAGAGGTAATCAACGGACCTTGCAATCATCGGATTATCCCAATCCTTTTGTTTATGGGAGGCTGGTGGTAGACATTCATCTCCAACTGAGGCTTTCCAAATGACATAAGCTTCGTCAAGCAGTGCATCTGGCAAGGTCAGGTGATCAGTTATTATTTTGGAGCTTGCCAATCTGGACGAGATGAAACCACTAATTGATAAGGCTATGGGTGATCGTAACCCTAAGCCTACTTTATTGCAGGGGAGAGTGGCTTGATGCCACGAATTGGAGTTAAATTTGAGGTTAGTTATTTTTTCCATGATGTTTTTAATTATGGATTCATATGCTCTTAAGGGATTAGGATGTTTAAAAACAGCAGTAGACCGTAGAGCATATAGGATCTTTGGTATATTGAAGAAATTTTTAATTAAGAAGAAAGATTTATGCGTGGGAAGTTGCATAAGTAGACCCTCCATATTGTTCAAATTATTCGAAGTAGCCTGGAAAAAGGCTTCAACTGCTAAGCAACCCCCAACTGGTGAGCCAAGATGTGTTAGTTCTTCGGCCATAACCTCTTTAAAGGCGTGACAGTTGCGAGATTGAGAGGTGAGCTGACAGAATTCTGTTTTGTCGACGTTTAAGAGAAGGCCTATGTCTGGCCCATCCTTTTGCAAAATTTCTAGGGCTTTGTCTATCTCTTCTGGGCTTCCGCTTATAATCCCGTCATCTATGTACCAGATATGAAGATCTAACAGGCAACTGCTTTTAATTTTTTTAACTAGATTGTCTATTCCTAAACAGAATAATATCGACCCTAGAGGATCACCCTGTTGAATTCCTTCTGAAGAAGAAAGCCTATATTCACCATATTGTAAGATGGAGGGATTCGCATAGCAGCTTAAAATGTAGCTGGAGTAGCATGGGAAGCTATTGATAAAGGATTTTAGGAAGACGGATCGCTTTATTGTGTTGTATGCATTGTAAAAATCGATTTTAATCAGGTGTTTATTTTGAGGATTATTTTGTAGATATATTCGGGTTATATGAGCGGCAGACTCGCAGCCGCCTTTGACACCAACCCCTAGTTGAGTTGATGTGAGAACTGTAGAGACCTTCTCATTGATTCGAGCCGAGATCAATTTTGATACTAGTCTTCTAAAAAGGGTGCCTATGGCAATTGGGCGCAAGTCTTTGTTTGGTTTTGTAAGAGCTATTAGTTTTGCTCCAAACATAA